ACACGAAGGCAGCGCTGGCGTGGGATGAGCAACCAAGCCCGCGTGTGCCCGGGCAGGGGCAGAGCGAAGGGCTGCACCCCTTGTGGGGCACCCGGGCCCTCCTCTCACCCTACAGCTCCTCCCGCCTGAGAATTACAGAATAGCCCGAGTTGGAAGGGACCCAAAGGATTATCCAAGTCCAGCTCCTGGCCCTGCACAGGACGCCCCAACAACCCCACCCTGTGCCTCAGAGCGTTGTCCAAACCCTCCTGGAGCTCTGGCAGCCCTGGGGCCGTGCCCACTGCCCTGGGGAGCCTGTTCAGTGCCAACCACCCTCTGCTCGGGCACCAACCTCCCACAGAGCCCTGAAACAGCGGAGCCGTCCCTGTCCTCCCCTTCCCCGGCCGGGCACCCAGGTCCCTCTCCGGGCCCCCCTCAGCACCGCTCCGGGGGGGAGCAGGACGCGGCCGCAGCTCTGCCCCGCGCGGCCTAGCGCGCCATGACTCAGCCCGTCCGCCGCGCCGGGCTCGCCCGCCGCCTCACCTGCGCCAGCCGCTCGCACTCGGGCAGGCGCTGGTCCACCGTGGCGCTGTAATCCACCTCCATCTTGACGATGCGGCCGTCGGCCCGCTCCGCGCCGCCCTCCGCCATGGCCGCGTCCGCCGCCTCAGCACCGCCACCGGCACGGCCGCGCAGGCGCGCCGGGGACAGCCCCGGAGAGGGCCCCGCGCCGCGCCAGGCAGGCGCTGCACAGGACACCCCCGGGCGCGCCAGGACCCGCCGAGGGGGAGGAGCCAGCGCTGAGGGAACCGCCCCCCCCAACCCGACCCTGTGAGGGGATCGGAGAGAACTGTGGGGGCACTGAGAAACCCTGACACTGTGAGGGGAGCTGAGAGACCCCTTGGGGGACTGAGACCCCCTGACATTGTGAGGGGAGCTGAGACCCCCTGACATTGTGAGGGGATCGGAGAGAGCCCTGGGGGGCTGAGACCCCCTGACATTGTGAGGGGAGCTGAGACCCTCTGACACTGTGAGGGGATCGGAGAGAGCCCTTGGGGGACTGAGACCCCCTGACACTGTGAGGGGAGCTGAGAGACCCCTTGGGGGACTGAGACCCCCTGACATTGTGAGGGGATCGGAGAGACCCCTTGGGGGGGCTGAGACCCCCTGACACTGTGAGGGGATCGGAGAGACCCCCTGACATTGTGAGGGGAGCTGAGACCCCCTGATAGTGTGAGGGGATCAGAGACCCCCTTAGGGGACCTGAGGAAATCTTGACCTCCAACCCCAAGCCTCTGAGAGGATCTGAGGCCCTCCCCCGACCCTGTGAGGGGACACGGATCACAACCCACCTCTGAGGGGATCCAAGACCCACCCAAGCCCATCTGAACCCCCCCGACCCTCTGAGGGGATCTGCCCCTAAAAACAGGCACGTCTGAGGGGATTCCCCCCTCAGCCCACCGCTCTGAATGGATCTGAAGCCCCCACAGCCATCTGTGAGATGATGAACCCATCCATGCCTGGGCACGCAGGTTGCCATCATCTCCCAGCACAGTGTCACACACCACAGAAGTTTCATTCACTGAAGAAATCCAGAAAAACTCCCTCATGTTTGCAAGCAGACAATTCAGAAAGAAACGCTGAGCAGGTAATGCCCTGAATCAGAATCACAGAATGGTTTGGGTTGGAAGGGACCTGAAAATCACCTTGTTCTGACTCCCTACCATGGGAATCTTTGGATGTTATTTAAGATTCCCAGAAAGAATAAGTTACCACAAAACTACATTTTGTGTTACTTTGAGACTCTACTGCACGTGGACCAACACAATGTGCCAAAGGGGTATTTGACATAACTGTTTTAAATCTTTTGTTGACAGAATTAAGACTGAGTTCCTACATCTGCTGCACTGTTGTAAATTCAGAGTAATTCAATTAAATGGATTCAGAGCTCTAATACTGTATTTTGCAACTGTGTCTGATGCATGCCTTCCAATTAGCAAAGCACAGACCATGGGCCTTGAATCACTTTCTGTTTGAACTCAAACTTGATTTAAAATGTCCCTTAACACAATTTATCCATTACCCTTAATCATTGTTAGCTGATTTTAATTGACCTAAGTACTGAAAATACATGCATGTATCACTCAGGGTGCATCAGTTGTTCTTTCTTAACTGGCCATTCACAAATTTTTACAGAGCTTTTGATTTTTAAAATCTCATTCCTTTAGCTCACTGTAATATTAGTATAATTTTACAGCTCATGGATTATGAGTGATGGCTTCCAGGGAAGTTGAAAGTCACACACTAATCTAATTGAACATAGTCCCATACACAGTAATTTGGTTCAGACAGCGAGTGAAAGAGGAAGAAAATGAATCCATACCGCAACTGTTGTTTTCCTTCACCTACATGGGTTTGTTGGGGGACAAGGAGGCAGCTTTTGCCTCCAATGCAGACTTCCTGGATGGCTAAAAAAATCCTCTAAATTCTTATCCAGAAGTTATTAGTAAAACACGCCAAAAAATAGCTTGGCTTTTGCTGTCTCTTATTCTGAAGCAACACTTTGCTGACCCAAGTCCATCTGGAGTTCATACTCAGCATGATTTAACATATGGGCTTTTTCCCCTCAGGGCAGAAATGAAAGATGAGTGAAAAATGTCTCGTTTTCACAACTGAGCCTAGAGAGGGTGTTGCAGAGGTAAGAGTAGTAATTTCTGCCGGTTCGTGGAAATCAAAGACCCAAAATTGAGGCTGGCACTGCCTGGCCAGTGGGAGCTGGAAGTTTTCTGTCTTGGCATATCCCCTGGAAAGTGGTGCATGTAGAGAGGCTGGGGACAGTCAGCACAGTGGGGAGCTGTAAGGGACATCCTTAGGGTCACTGCTTTTATCCCATGTGTATGTGCAGCCAGCACAAGACTGAGCTGTGCCTCTGGCAGTAAGTTGAGGGTGACTGCAGGTATAGGAAGTGGTTTTGTTTTCCATTTTGAGCAGCTTGTGGATTTGACACACTGCTTTCCACGGATCTGCACACTTCGTTATTGTACACAGAGCTATAAGGTTTGGTTCATGTTGAAAGCACATAACAGGGGACAAAATGGTTTAAATCTTTCTCAAGGTTTTATTGAAATCAGTGTCCTTGCCTATCGTTAAGGTTGGAAAAGACCTTTGAGATCATCAAGTCCAACTGTCAACCCAGCAGCACCACAATGTCCTCAAATGCTGCATCCACACATTTTTTGAACACTTCCAGGGATGGAGACCTCCCCCACTTCCCTGGACAGCCTGTTCCAATGCTTCTGTGAAGAGATTTTTCCCAGTATCCAATCTAAACCTCCCCTGGCGCAGCCTGAGGCCATTTCCTCTCATCGTGTCCCTTGTTCCCTGGGAGCAGAGCCCGACCCCCACCTGGCCACAGCCTCCTGTCAGGGAGTTACAGGGAGTGAGAAGGTTCCCCCTCAGCCTCCTTCTCTCCAGGCTGAACCCTCCCAGCTCCTCATAAGACCTGTACTCCAGACCTTTTCCCAGCTCCATTCCTTTCTCTGGACTCACTCCAGCAGCTCAACGTCCTTCTTGCAGTGAGAATCACAAGGTATTGCCTTGTTTGGGCTATTTTGCATGGAATTTCAGGAACATACAGTACCAACATTATGAATTATAGCCACAGTTTCCATATTTATAAATGGCTGTGTCACATTTGAGACAGAAGTCTCATTAAACACATTGTTCATACCTCAGTTGAAAATGCAGACTGTTAATAGAGCTCCCAGATTTTTTATTTCTTTGTGTAGGTGTTTGCACTTCCCTGGGAAGGCAGGGATGTGAAATATTGTGCCATTATTGCAAGGGGCTGGCAGAGGGACGTAGCTGGCTCCAGGAGATGGCACTGTGTCCTCTGGGCTAAGAATTATACCCACAGCTCCGAAATGTACATCCAGAACCAATAAAATTCTGAGGGGTTTTTGCTCTTTCTTGTTATGAAACACACATTTCACTGTAGACATAAATTCATCTTTAGCTGTCCCAAATACAGCATTTCACCACTTTTTTTTTTTTTGCAAATAATTGATATGTAAATGCAGATGGATATTTTACCACTATCTGTGCAGTGCCTTGTATTTTCCTCTTACTGTCACAGTGCTTCTCTGCAATCCAGAGAATGGCTTTATAGCCACTGGGAGCACAGGAGAAACAGAAGGATGAGCATTTTAAGCATAAAATGCTGAGGTTGTGTAACAGTTCGGGGTTTTCAGCTAGTTTCAGAATTGGGTTCCAGTGCATTTCAAGTTGTAACTTAATGACGGGTAAATGTCTCTGAGAAACACAACCCCCAAGCATATTAAAAGCCGATTTCAATAACAAATTGCAACTAAGGGAGGCGGGGAGCCCTCCTGAAACGGCTCTGGCTTTATTGTTCAACTGGGAAGGAGGCACTTTCTCACTGAACTTTCTGCGTGGCATTTAAAAGTTTAAAAAAAAAAAAAAAGATACGGAAAACAAAAGTGTTTTATTTGTGCTGCAAAATGTGCTGGCTGATAACGAAGGGCTGACCAGAAGGGAAATGGGTGAGGCCTCCACATCCTGTGCTGTGTCCGCACCGAGCGCACGCTTGTCCTTTCCTTTGTACCGGGGGGCTCGCGGGGCGCGAACGCTTCGCAAGGTGCCTGGCCACACGCAGGGCAATAAACTTCCCAAACCCGCGGAAGAATAAACCAAACCCGCGGTTTCTCCGCGCTCGGCGCTGCCGGTCCCCCCCGCCCGGGAGGCTCCGGCGGGCGCAGCGCGGAGCCCCCGCGGCCCGGCCCCGCTGAGCCCGCCCGGTCCCCCCCGCCTTCCCTCCTCGCCTCGCTCCCTCCCTGCCTCCGTCCTTCCTGCCGCCCCGCTGATGTCAGCCCAGCCCCGCCGGGGCCGCCGCCGATACCGCCCGCCCGTGACCGCCGCCCGCCCGCGGCTGCGCGGGGGACCCGCGGCCGCCCGCCCGCCGTGCCCCCCCTGCCCCCGCCCCGAGCGCAGCGGGAGCCGCGGCGGCCGCAGCCGCGTTGCGGCGGGGAGGTGGGAGCCGCGCTTGGCAGCCGGCAGAGGGGAACGTTATAAAAAGCCTTTGTCTCGGGACTCAGCATCGCATCTCTCTCTCCTGCCGCCCGACGGTGCTGCTGCTGCTGCCGGCGGCGGGGGCGAGAGCCACATTTTCGGCTCGTTTGTTCTTTTCGCCGCCCCAGGCATGTCTTGACACAGCCGCGAGAGAGCCCGGCGTTTCCGTGCACTTCCGACGGATGTCTTCGGCTGGGGCGAGAGCGGTGGGGGTTTGAGACTTGGTAGCGTATCTCGGTGCGAGCGTCCGTGAGATTCCCATGATCGCAGCGTGAAGGAGGAAGAACTGGAAGAAAGAAGCAGTTGTATTGGTTTCTCTTCTTGCTGGGTCAGCCTTCCTGGATGGTTGCGCTACTGTCTTGTGGACACATTGTCAAGCGCGCACAGAGAGAGAGGCTTGATTATTTTCTCCCGTGTTTGGTTTTCGTCGTGATCTCTGTGCAGAAATCCCCACTTTTCTCGCAGTTCGCCGGTCCGCACTGAGCAGCAGGAATATGCTCATGAAGGAGTACCGGATCTGTATGCCTCTGACAGTTGAAGAGGTAAGATCCGCGCTCGTAGCGGAGAGGCTGTTCCTTACCCAGGGTTTTCTCTTGCCAGGCGACTTGAGGTTGTATTTGTTTTGCTGAATATTTCTTCTTCGTGTAATGAACTTAGTCGGAGATGATTGGTTAGAGAGGAATGTTTTTATTGGAAAATAAAGGAATCCTGCAGGAACGAAGGTAACTTAAGTGTATCAAAAGCACTGTGTCGTCAAAATATTGGTTATAAAGATTTTCCGACCAGACTTTTCAGAGGGATCTCATGCATGTTTGCAAGGGAATGCTTTTGTGCTGAAATTTCTAGCTGATAAAGCGTTTGTCCAAAACCCAGTTTCTAAATATATTTCACCTTTACTTAAAATACCCTCGCTGCTGAACACGGCCTGAAACTCCCTCCAGCACAGGTAGGGAAGAGAGCCGATCATTTATTAGCAAAACTTTGTTGTCATTTAAAGAAACGACTGAAAGTCAATCTGCTGTTTGTCGGGTGCTCTCAGCTCCGTGTTGGGAACACTGGTTTTATTTGTCTGCGGAGAGTTTTAAGTAAGTCCGTAATACCTCCGTGGGGCACACGTGTTCTGGAGTTACTTGGGAAGTGTTTGCGGGTGCAGGAGGTGCCTAAAGGCCGGATGGAATACGAAACAGAGCGGGTGCTTTATGGTTTGGTGCCCTGCAAGTGTGAGAAGATGCTGTTTTAGGGAGCCGTTGGTGGCGGGGATGGGGACGAGCCCGCGCTGGGCGCGGATCTTGCGCTTGAGCTGCGCCCAAAGTTCCGCCTGGGCCGCCACCGCCAGGGGGCGCCCTGGCTCAGGGTCCCTCACGAGGGGCTTAATTCGCTAATTAATGGATAATTAACTCGCTAATTGAGTTACGCGTTTGTTGGTTGAGTCCGTCCAGGAGGGTGTTTTGCTGCGTACTTTTCTTTTCTCTGATATGTGTGTGGGGGAGCCTCCAGCAGCCCGGCAGGTTGGTCATTTCAATGCTCTTTTTGTCCGTCTCACCAGTTCTGGCAAATTAACAGTTTTCTGAAACTGAGGATTGGAACTGTCAAATATTTACTTCGGGCTGCGCAGGAAATTCCTTCTGCAGGGAGCAGGACCCAAAGCCACCACATGCATGTAGTTAAACTGGTATAGGTTTAATTCTAGCCTTTTTCCATCATATCCTGTGATATTGGATGGCATTATTCTTTTAAAACATAATTCTCTTTGTTTATTGCATTACCCTACTGTGGACAACGTTTTATCCAAGCCAGTTCCTGATGTCCTCAGACTACCACACTTAGTTAATGACAGTTCATTACATCATCAGAGGGGAGCAGATCTAATTTATTTTGAAACATTATTATTAAACAAGATTTCCAGATGCAGAAAAGTTCAAAAATCTCTCAAAACAGGAATGGTCGATGCATGATGAGGCAGAAGGAAACATTGGATGTCATTGTTTCTCTAGAATGTTAACAGAATTAGTAAAGATACTCTATCTTGTAGTTTCTCTTATGTTGAATCATCCATTATTGAATCCAAGTGCTGCAGCTGAGATGCCTTAATGAGGAACCTAGAACATGTCTGATATTTAGCATCAATTTAATTACTAATTATAAAATGAACTAGGACAAAATTGTAAAATTAGCAGATATCTTATTTTTGTTACAGTATTTACATACTAAAAAAGGTCCACGCTGTTTCTCAGAGTGGTTCATCCTTGTCACATTCCCTACAGTCTTATGAAGGTGGTGTTATCCTACTTTTACCCTCAGTTGCACATTAACTGCCAACAATGTGTGATTGTTTTTGCCACAAGGGGATGGGGTGGTTCAGTCACCAGGAGAACATCATGGGGCAACACTGACCCTTCAAATACACGGAGCATTTTGGTTCCAAGAGGCCCAAACTGCCTCCTGCAAGGTGCAAAGTCACTCTGAAGCTCAGTGGGCTTTGAGGGAAACAGTTTCCAAAGGATCTGGAATTTGCCACGGGGCTGGGATGCTGGGCCCTGCTCTGCAGTGGCACTTGGGATCCTGACTCACCTGGGGACACTGCTGGCGCTTAAGCACCCAAGGTTTTTTGAGGTTCTGTGTTTCAACAGGTATGGGCAAAATGCAGTTCTTATGCAACAGCCTGGCTCCCCCTCTTGTGCTGTTTTTTCTTCTGTAGACTTCACAACGCTGCTTTTCCCTGGTTGATGCTCTGGCTCTCGTCCTGTGCACTTTAGACATAAATCCAGAAGTATTTCCTTGAGCAGTTTTCCTTTTTTAGCCCTGCCCTGCCAGTTACCCATCCATAGAAGGCTCACGGCATGAATGGGAAGGAACTGTGGCTTCAGTCTGTGGTGGTGTGTTGTCACCAACACCACAGTGCTTCCCATGCCGTTCCTCTGAGGATAATCTGGCACAGGGAGCAAAATGCAGTGTTAAGTCTGCCAGCCAAGCACCTGTACCTGATCTTCTGGAGTCAGATTTTGTGTGTAATGTGAAGAAACATGCTGTAAAATGCTGTGTAATGTCCAGGCAAGTCATTGCCTGGCATGTAAATACCTCTGCACGCAGCAGGGAGCGGTTAGTGCTGCTCTGGGTGACTATTATGACCTAAATTTATCTCTAGAGAAGAGTAAAGAACTGATACATCAGTGTAACAGCAGCGCTGTCTCCAGGTTGGAAGAGTTTCTGGCATTGTTGTGGGTAGGAAATGCCTTCATCAGCTGCTGCAGATCCTGCTCCTGAGCCGTGCTTTCCTTGATGCCCTTATTAGATAAGATACCCAAATATTTATGGGAGTTTTGTTTATCTCCCTGTCAGCTTGGAGGCCAAATGCTTTCTTGCAAATAAAACATTTCCTAAGAAATGCTGTTTGCTACAAACTGAGCTGCTCTGGTGTATTTTGAGCTAGGATGGAGGAGCTGGACATGCATCTTTGTGCCTTGGCCATAAACACCAGGAAAGACAGGTTGATCCAAGAGTCCTTGCTGGGGTGCTGTGGCACCACACTACAGTTCTTATTTAAGGCTAAGTCAGAAAACTGCATTTTTATTGACAGCTGTTCAGGTCTGTTACATATTTATGGTCAGAAGCTGCCTGATCAGCTTTAAAATAATTTCAGAAAGGAAATACCACGTTAATTTCTAAGCAAAATAATAACAACTGTTGTAAGAACTTCGTAAATTAGGTCAGAATAGAGCTGTTGGTTGACAAAGCCAATGTGATTGCCAATTAGAGATCATTCTTTACCTCGTTTGTGTTCCTTTTGGGAGGGACCCATGCAAATTCCATGCTTTTGTTAACACCGAGATCTTACAAATTAGGAAAGAGAAGAGAAAGAGAAGAATTTCTTTGCATTAATATATAAAGCAAGTAAAATGTGTTCCAGTAATTGCATAAGATACGTTACCAGTCCTCATCCCAGCTGCAATTAATAAACGAGCCTGCCTCAGTTATTTTTCCCCTTGCATTTTCATCTGTTAGTTCATTCTTACAAATAGCTTGTTACCTCATATGGGAGAATATTATAATAGGCTGCATTGTGGGGTTTTAAATATCATCAGTTAAAAACCCCACATTCCTAAGCAAGTGAAAAGAGCACCAAGCAATGGGAAAGAGCGGAGATGCTGAAAAATTCTCAGACTTGGGTCTCATTGCAAATCAGAATTCCACAGTTTTTCACAGGAAGGATTACATGGCTTTGTGCTTTTGGGATGCCTTTATCTGAAAATGTAAATCAAAGGTGATAGGTTAGCGTGGTACTGAGCTCTTCTGGGAGAGGCAAAGTACAGTGAAGTTCCTGATTTGCGTGGAAAGTGATTATTCTTTCCGGAGGGAGGTGAAAAGACATTTTTGCTGGATCCTGTTGAAAATGGAGCTGTTACTGCTGTAAAACGCTGTGAAAGATGTGAAGCTGGGCTGTGTATATTTGAAAGCTAAACATCAAATAAACTGCAGGACTCCCAGGGTTTTTTCCTTGGAAACAGGGATGCCCATTAACATTTCTGTTAGTTCTGAAGTCTACATGCATGGCCAGTCCCTACATTCCTAACAGGTTTTCCTTTGCTTTGTTCTTTATTTCAACCAAGATTCTCTCTGCTGAGCCTGGTGGAATTGCCCCCACTCTGTGCTTTAAATAAAAGCCAGGTTGGATCTGTGGGGAGCTCTGCCTGCATGAGGTGTGCAGGAACAGCTGTATTGTCATGAATACAAACAAGCAGAGACCTGCAAAATGGCCATAAATGGAGAGCGTGGTTTTTCAACAAAAAGTCCTCTCAGCATTCCCAAATTCTGGGTTTAGAAGGTGTTATCCTTGCTCCTTTATGAAAATACCCATTGTTTAGCTCTTGTTTCAAACATTATGAATTCTCCCGGTGTGGATTATTTACGTGAAATTATTTCCACAACATCTGTGTAAACAGTGTTTGTACTCTCTGAATCTTGTGTACATTTCTTCTTGAAAAGATTTCATAGTCTCCCGTTTTGTGTGCAGAGGGTGCTTGTTATAACATGTTTTATTCAGGCAGATTTCAAGCTCATTGGAAGCGTTTGAGAAGGTGGTGGTGTGCCCTGAGAGTCAGCAGGTGTTACAATATTTAGACATAACTATATGTCTGTAGTACAGCAAAGCCTTTAGTAGGGTATAAAGTGTAAAAAAATTCTTTTTCATAAGTACAGTGATCTCCTGCAGGACAAATTACATCAACTTGTCCTGCAGTTAATACAGATAGATTAAATAATGACCAACGGTGTGTGCTGCTTTCATTTCCCAGCTGCAGCCACAGAACGTGTTTTCAGGAGCACCTTAATGTATGGAGCATTTGTAAAAGCAGTATGTGGGTTGTAAGCAAGGGGACTATAAGCAAACAGAAGATAAAGTCAAAGTTTCAAATTTAATTCAGTTTATGACTTGTAAATGAAATAATGGTTGAACCCGGTAATGACCACGACCTCTGCAGAAAAGTTTCTCTGGCAGGTTGGAGCTGAAGTTGTCCAGCAAAAATGGAGTCTTACTGTGCAATTT